AGAGAGAGAGAGAGAGAGAGAGAGAGAGAGAGAGAGAGAGAAAGAGGAAGGAAGGAAGGAAGGAAGGAAAGAAAGACGAGAGCGAAGTCTGGAGGCGAGGCGAAGACCACGAAATATTTGTCAATCGCAAGAGCGAGGAGGACCGCGCTGGCAAAGTCGATTTAACGCCCGTTAAGGAAGCAATTCCTTTAAGAAGGACGAGCGCCGGCAAGGACAACGTAAGCCGAGATCCTTGACCCGGCGCCCGGAACTTACGACCTTTCCGCGAGGAATCGCTTCCGCCCGCCATTATCGGTGGACGAATAGAACATCAATAACCAATTTCGTAAGACTAATATCGCGAAAATTAGTTTTCCGAAAGTCCTCTCTCTCTCCCCCTCCCTCTCTTACACGCGCACTTTCGTTCTTCGTATCTCATTCCCCACTCTTACCCTGTAGCCTTCGTTAAAAGATCGTAGACCTACTGCGGAGCGACGTTCATGGTTTTCTTAATGTCCATCTACGGACGGCGAACGATCGTGAATCTCTTTTTATCGTCGTGCGATAGTCGTTCTCCTCTCTCGCGTCTCTCGCTTCTTCCGCCTCTTCCTCTTCCTCATCTTCTTCCTTTTTTTTATATCCCACGAGTATATATCACCAGAACGTTGCGCTGGGACGACGTGGCAAATTTTAACGGACGTTTCTTCCGCTTCGAAAGAGCCTTGATGAGAAATTCGTTACCCCCGCCAAAGTTTCAAGCAGCGCGCGTCCGGTCAGTCCGAGGGACACTCGATTGTGGATACGAGGATACAAGGGTGCTGTCTTATTTTTTCTCCTTTTTTCTGCCAACAATTAGCGTTTATTCGTCTCTGTCTTTCTCTTTCTTTTTCTCTTGAGGACGAGAAACGACATCAAATTTGTCGCAACGCGCGTCGCGCGAATCTCAGTAGCTAATTATAAATTAATTACGGTGCCATTGTTCTACCGTCACACTGTGGCTTGATTACCGACTTTTCACGTAGGCGCCGAATTTTCTCATTTTTCTACCCTTATGTGTTAGTTCGCCCGTCCTTCTTTTTCTTATCTCTCATTTTTCTGCCCTCTCTTCTTCTTCAGCTTCTTTCACTTGCTATTTTTGCTTCTCATTCTCCTCCCTACTTCCTCTTTCTCTTCGTCTTCTTCTTGAAGCTCTTGGAAACTTTTCTCCGGCAATGGCTTGCGTACCGACAGGGTAAATTTTTTACAAGATGGCATCCTTGGAATTTCGTGCACTGATGTTGTCTTCACGTCGTGCACACACGAATATTCGCCCACAAGAATGACTCACCGGATGTATTAATTCTTAAACACCGACGTGTATTTTTGTTAATGTTGGCGAAGGCGCAGAAAATATATCCAACATTCCAATTGCATCACCGAATATCGTGAGCCGTAAATCCGTAAAGAAGTATCTAATTTATCTCGAAAATATTCGATGCATCCGACAAACGGTTTTCCACAATAAAATATCGCGGAAACGCGCTACCTAAATTTGAATATTTTTCTATCGCATACTTTTTTCTTCCTCTTTTTCTCTGTCTTGGTTCCTCTCTCTCTCTCTCTCTTTCTCTTTCTCTTTCTCTGGCCGTTTTAAATTTTAATATTTTTCTAATATTGTGCATACTCTCTCTCCGTCTAAATTTGAATAATATTTTAATATTGCGCATAGTCGCGAAATTTTATGAAAATTTCACGCGCGTTGTCGGCCCAATGGTCGAAAAAAAGGGCTAACCGCGGGATCGCGTGACGCCTAGCGATAGTGTTTCGTCGCCGAAGAAGTACGACGACCCGTAATCCGTCAACGTGGGTGAGCGCGCGCGAGCGTACGGGAGATGTACGATCGTGTCGGATGCAAATTTCACGAGTTTTTCCAATGGCGTTGATGAATAAGAAATCGTGAGGTCGCCCGCTGTATGCCGTAACGAAATGGAGTACGGGAGAAGAGTGGCGTAAAGACCTCGTTGGGAACTGAGTTTCATCAAGCACTGGCCTCTTTTTCAGCACCTCCATCCCCTCGCCCCTCCGCGAACCCGGACTCCCCGGCCCTTCGTCGTCTTTTCCGCCGTACCCTCGTGTCGCAATCTCGGCTCCTTTATATATTCGCTCTTATCAGAACGTCGCGGGTGGGAAGGCGAGGTGGTGGGGCATCGGGGCGACAAGAAGGGCCCAAACGAGAGTATTTTGCGTATCAAAGTTGACGAAGTACTCGCCATACATTATTCCGGCCGGTCCTTTGTGCGCGCATCGTGCCGTATCTGTTACGTGTCTTCGCGCCTTTTTTCATCCCCTCTTTGTTAGCACCCGGGATGACGAGCGAACGGTAAGAAATCGACGAGTGGCGTGTCTTGTCCTCCGGCATGGGCGGAAGGGAGGGCAGCGGGGAGACACATATCCGTCACCTGGCCCGCCATTTACGACGATCGACTTTATCGTCGCACGCCTCAGTTAATTTTCGCGCACTCGATACGTCGGCGTGCGCGAATGTCGTCGTTGTGGAAAAAAACTATAGTGATATGCTCGCGTGCGCGGCTGATAAGCGAGCCGTCTACGACGGACGATAAGCAAGCTTCTACGAGAAAAGTGCACACACAACGTTCCTCGGTCCTTTTCTCGTCGAGGTCTTAAAAAAAAGACCATATCTACGTTTACTCCGGAACCACTACTTCTCGGGTTATATTCTGGCCTCCACCCCCGTCCTCCTCCTGCCTCCATCGTCCATCGTCTATTCCCTGGGTATTTGCGAGTTATATCCTCACCTTCCTGACATATTCGAAAATTCCTGGTGTATACGCTCTATTTGCGGCGAGTTACACGCTTTTCGTCCTCAGACGTTCTTTGGAAAATTCTCGTTTTTCTCAAATATCCCTGCCCCTTCCCCCTCCCTCTTCCTCTAAACCTCACGTTTTACGAGATAAGTGCACGGGACATTTCGCGGAGACCCTTTAAAAAGACCGTATCTATATTCACTCCCGAGCCGCCGCCGCTGCAGCCACCACTCCACCACCACTTGAGTTACGTTCTTTCTATTTGCACGTGACATTTTCACTTTCTCGGCATACTTGAAAATTTTCAATTTTGCCTTTATATCCTATGGACCGTGTGTTCTAAGCAAGAACCACACGGAACTCTCCTCACTCTCCTCCTACCAAGATATTGACGAAATGGTACATCCGCCTTTCGAAAATATTTAATTCGATATCGGTCAGGAATATAAAATCCAACTCGGCAAAGTCGCGAGTTATTGTATATATATATCTTCTGACGAATTATTGGCCGCGTCGCTTCAAAAATAGCATCAGACAGATTTTACGCGGATACAAATAGTCGCCAAATTATGAACAGAAGGCAATCGATTTCAATAAACGTCAGTTACCCAGATGTCATTGTGCCGAACAAATTTGTAGTATAGTGAACAATTATCGCGGCTTCATAAATATTTCGGTCAAAATAAGAAAATCGAGGTCACCGCGAAAACTCTGTCTACCTTTTACTCTTACGTCTCTTGACAACGTTTATCGTGACTCTTCAAACTTATTTATAAGTAAGTTTTATCTCTATTTTATCTGAGGAGCATATTATTTTAGATATGTCTACGTAAAAAAGATTCAAACTCATCAAATAAAATAGTGGCGCCGTTTATTAATGTCTTTAATATTTAACTATGTGAGGTCGAAGAACTTTTAGGGGTTATTTTTATATTTAACCTATATCGCAGAAAGATGAGATAGAATTTGCAGTTTATAACTAGTCGCACATACATTTCAGGAGAATATGAAGAAAGGAGCGAGATGTGTTGTACAAACTATCAACTTGTCAAAACCGAAAACATGTATAAGACCAAGAGGAGTCGAAAAACTCGTCGGCACGGATACGGTAGACTCATCCACGAAGTCTGATCTCGCGAGTGGTCATTGGACACTTAGACCAGTGACAGTGAAAGTTTGCACGCGAGAAGATATGCAGAGGACCTGCAAGTCGAAAGTGATTATTGAGCTTTTCGAAAAATGTCGGATTATCGGCTCTCTGAACATCCGGTTGAAGCTTCTTCTGTCTCATTCCCTCTTTTTTTTCTTAATGGACTAATTGAATCGATTGGAATGCCATATTATGTAATCGTCCTTGCGACGGGGGAGGAAATTCTGATTAAAACGAGAAAAAAGTGGAACATCTATATTGAGCTTTGGAAAAATGGAGAGCCTGCTGTTTAATTTTCGCTACTACGGAGACACTCGTCGCGATGGATTCCGCGCGCTTCGCGCCGGGTATCCAATTCCGGGTTAAATCATGTGGCTTGTCGCCGTGTCGGGCGTTCGCTTGGCCTTGCACGATATTGACACGGCGTGTAACGAGATGATGGTGTTCGAGCACCTGTACGGAATTGGTTAGTCGATACGTAGTTGCGTTTACCTGGAATTAGCTCGACAGTCGGTGTACACTACTATAGCGACATCGATGGGTCTCTAATGGAGGAGGACAGTCCGTAGTCCTCGTAATTGTTAGGGACATCATCCTCGCTCGGTCTTGGGACGGAGAGTCAAGCACCTTGACAGAACAGAGGGCCAACGCGCTAGTATTTATTTTCATAATCGACGACGTGACGACAGCGTTCGATAATACAGCTTCGCTCAGTCCTTTACAATGTATATGCAGTTGTAATAACTTGACACAGTCGGTTTATTTAATAAATGTTGTCACAAAAGGATAAAACCGCCGATGAAAAGCGCGCGAACGAAGCGGCAAATTCGCGATTTTTAGACTTCGAGCGGGTGAAAAATACGGTCGTACGTTCCTTTTTCCTTTTTGTCCAAGTAAAACGTTAAAATATACGCGAGTGGAACACACCAATGAGACACCCGCCAGCCATTTGTATTGTCTCCATTCGTGCAGTACTGCGATTGCCGTGAAAAGCCGCTGTCGCCGCCGCTTTCGACCGGCGAGAGACTCTGCAGAACCGTAATGTTTCTTATAAAAGGCACCATCACGGCTGGCCTTATTTATTGGACTTGCTCGGAGGGTCTTTGGAGCGACAGTGGAGAGACGGAAAATCTGTATTACAGGATAATGAGCACGATCGCTCCCTCGCTATCTGCTCCGCCGTCGGGCGCTAACGATGTGCGTATAAATACGATATCCTGTTCGTATATACGATGTCGAGCGTCGCGGCAAGCGCGCCGAGTTTTTTGCCACATAAAATTGCGTAAACGCGAATTCATTGTTGAATTTGATTTTTTGTCGTACCATAAATTTTTTCTCTCCCTCCTTCTTCTCTCCCGTTCTTCATTCGACGGCAATCCGATTAATGAATACATTACGACTTAATTAGAATCTTACTAAAACTTGTTTCATATGAGATACTTGGGTGACATAAGTTGGGTTTGTATTAATAGTTGTTATTTGAAACTTGCTTCAAGTGAGACTTTCAGATTTGAATTTAAAGTTGGATATGAGTTTATATATAATGGCATTACAAATATAACGTTACATATATTAATACAATTTACTTAAAAAATTTAGATGCAGTTCTGAAATTAAACTTGAGTATCTCATTAAGTTTCAATTATTAATGTGTTTTTAAACTAACGAAGATTTTTCCCTTTTCCTTTTCTTTTCTTTTTTTAATTCTCCCAGATACACTTGTCACACCTGGAGCAAATAAAATATTCGATATTCGAGACATACAATGACGCGGTGATGAAAAGTATGGATATTATCATCGGTGTGCCATTAGTGTTGTACCAAAAGCTACGAGATATCTTATTCCCTTGCGACGCAATTAAAGAAACAGGGACACAACAGTCCGACAAGACTTCAGCGAAAATGTAATTTTCCAAATTATATAAATATCGAATATTATTATTTATATAATTATATAAATATCGAATATTATTATTTTTTGTGATATTCTCGTAAAGCTTACTCTCTCTCTTTCTCTCTTTTCGTCTTTCTCTCTGTCTCTCTGTGTTCTCAATATAAATAATTTCAATATAACGTAACATTTTGTTTATTTAACAAGAATGACACGCAAAAATATATTAAAATATATTACAATGTATTAAGCGAAGTAAAATATTGTTGACGATATTGTCGGGCACGAATTTTTTTACGTCAATGTTAACAGGCAAATAAACAGACTCAATTTCCCGAAATGTTCTTGCATGCCGTTGAAAACATGCCACGGTCTTTCTGTTTTTTTTTTTTTCTTATTTTTACCGTATGGCACGCTCGGTATAGCAGCAAATGTACAAGACAGGATTAAAATTCCGCGTGGCATCTTTTCCATTTTTTTCTCCTCCTCGCCACGCTCAAAAGCACACGAGGGAGCTCGTAGGGTGCGCATCTTAAGCGATTTTTATGGCCAGTTCGTCGTCGCGACGATCTTACAATTAAAGTACACAATCCATGCATAGAAAATCGTTACTTCGACAGCAATAAAAGAGATGGAAGAAAATCGTATTTATTATAATATTATGTCATTAAAATCATCGCGTGGAACATTTTCGTCTCGCGAACAAATGAAGTATTTTTAGATGGCGTCACAGATGACAAGCGATTTCGAAATTGAGACCTCCAGTTGTCACGATAGACATATCGGATATATCTGGGGATTTTATCTCCGTTTTATTATCGCGCCCCCGGTCGCCACTCCGTTTGCCATCGAGTCGTTAGCGGGAGCGATCATTTCGGTGCCGCTTTAAGGACTGACCGACGCGAGTTCATGGTGGGATATTTAGAGGCGATTAATGTCGATTAATCAAGAGTCGAAAATTAATTTCGCGCCGCACGGCCCTCTATGTATCATATATCACGGAACACCTTATCGAGCAAGCGAAATTACTTCCCCACCCGACGTAAAATACGACCCTCTCTGCGTGTGCTGAAATTCGGGAATCCGCGGGCAAAAGTCTTTCGCCTTCGCGGCGAATACCAACACACACACATGCACGCACGCGTACTCTATCAGTCTCCGCCATACGTTCTCGGAATTTTCCCGGTTAATGCACGTACGGAAGAGGGGAAAAGAGGAACAAAGAAAGAAAAAGAGCCAAGAATTAGGAGAAGACAGAAAATACTTTCCTCCGAGTCGAATATTTGCGTGGTCAAATGAATCGCGTATATTCTAACGATACACACACACGCACACACACGAGATGCGTTCTTCCAGCGAGTGATATAGCCATGCAGAAAGCGAGAAAGAGAAAGAATGGTAGGGACTTACGTGTGGCCAAGTTTCCTCGAGAGCGCAGCACGAATATCTCAAAGCTCCGTCGCTCCGAGTGACTTCTCACGTGCTGAGTATTCCTTTTTCGTCGAACCGGAAGGAAGTTTCGGCCCCATTTTTCAGGCGCGTCTATCTTTTTGCGGCACGTGAGCGTCGTTTGTCAAGGCGCCTATTTTACTTTATAAGCGCGCTTCTCTCCCCCGGGTACACACTGCGCGCGCGCGAAGGTAATACCTCGTGACGCGGGTTCGCGGGCGGACGGGGTTCGGCACGCGAATAAACAGCGACACACCCAGCATTCGGACAATTAAACAGTTTATTCAGATCAAAACATGGTGTAGTATATACATACGACTTAGTTAAACGATATGGATCTGATATGAAATCACCTATACAGTGAACTTAAGGTTCGGCTTTACGCGGCTGTCAGGTCGATTTACATGGACTCTCTGCGCGGTTGTTACGTACAGCACTCTCCGATTATGTACATGGTCGATTATTTCGCTACTGTGCTCCTCTCTTGCTCTACGGCTCTCGTCGCCGTCCACCTGTGATCGCGCTCGCGCCTTTCCCCACAACCCTCTCGCACCTAATTGTTGTTGAGGGTGGTCGCGCCGACCGAGAACGCTTTATTTTCGGTACCTACATTCGGTCGAGCACCCTTGCCTCGCGCCGCATTCTCGCTAAACGAGATCCTTACACACGAAAAGGTTAATAAACCCCGACAGTGCCACCTCCCCTCTCCCTGATCCTTCTCTGTTCTTGTCTCAATTTTACAAAACGAATACGGACAGTAGTACTTCGTCTTATTCTAACTCTCGGTCCGCGCGCGCTTTAATACGAAACGTCCTCTCCTCATCATTCACTCTCACACTTTGAATGCACTCTGAAATTTCCATGGACGTGAAAGATATGCGCCGTCGAGTTCACGGCTGTCGATTCTTCGACGATGTCATCCGGAAATGACACTTAGTGCTCAAAAAATCATCATAAATACCTAACAAAAGAAGAAAGAAATTGATCAGAATATGTCATTCATCATGCAGCTTCGCCAACTTTTTTGTGGTTGCAAAGGAAGAAGGAAGAGGACAATTTTCTCGAGAGAGGAAAAAGTGATTACGAAACGGGGAAGGGATAAGTTGCTGCTGTATTTGCGATTGAAAGCAGAAGGTACGTTTTGCTCTTTTCTCTAGGCGCATGTCTCAGGATAAAAATACTTAGCTTACATAAATTACTTTCTCTCTCTCTTTTTCTTTCTTTCTTAGGAACATCAAAACATCTGGTGTCATCGTCGAAGAACCGCGACGCTACGACGAAATGGAAAAATCCCGGCGGAACGAGTTATTGAGCACGATATTTCGCGCAAACGTGACCGCGCGAAGTGGTTCTCGCGGGTCGATAGAAACAATTTTTCGCCTCTTCCATACTCGTCCTCCTCGTCCTCGTGCTTAAGATGAACGGGAGGATCGAACGAGGCGTGCTCGATAACGCCGTTCTCTATCCGGTCACCTCGATAACTCTCGAGGCCGTGTTTCGTCTAACTTAAAATCCTCTCACGATATGTATATACAGTAATACATTAGCTAACGAGCAACCATCATCGTGCTTGATCATTATCCTTTTTATACATCGAAACAGACACTCGACGATTGATTTGACATTACCTAGTTCTCGCATCCCGAGAGACGCGACTTCACTGTCGCCGACACGACACTCGTTATTCATTCTTAGCGCGCGCTCTCTCTTTCTCTCTTTCTCGCCTCCCCCCCCCCCCC